TTCCCTACGGATTCTCCGCTTACTCTAACACTTTGGCAGTTATTATTCACACCAAGTTCAAACCAGATCATTCCCTCCAAAATCTGCCTTAGTTTGCACCTCTGCCAAGGAATATTAGCACGCTTCACTTAAACTTCACTTAAGAAGTTTTAAACTGATACAAATCCCCTGTAGTGTAGATGGCAACCCCCCTCCCAACCTCTTCTTTTATCAGAGATGCTTAAAGTTGCAGCCCTGTGATTAATATTGCACTTTATGAGAATCACTTGCTGTAACTCACTCTAAGGTTATTTTCTATCAACAGCTTTTCTATGAAGGTCTATTACTTGTCAAAGCTAAGTTTAAAATAGAAACACTTCTTGCTCATTCATTGACTATTTAATGAAGAAACTTGTCAGCTATCACATCCAGAAATATCTCTAGGCCCTACTATTAATAGCAACTGGAGAACAAATGTTATCAGGGAAGTTTAAACCTCTGATAAGCACCAGTGCAACTGTATCACTATCCCTCCCATCTCAAAGTTCTATATTCAACCAGCCTTACATACCACATAAGTCAGACATAGAGCAAAAGCAGTTGTAAACCAAACCAAACCTGTAAACCAAACCCTGTAAATGAAGTAACATACAAGGCTATACAAAGAAATAATAAGGATGGTAGAGTGCTATCCCTTTTCTGGTCAGCACTCATCAGCCTACACCAACGGAGGACAAGCACACGGTTCAAGCCTTCTTCAGCCCTCTGGCTCAAGGCTGCAGATAAGCATTGCCTGCCTGGGCAGACACAGGAGTCCTCAGTGTTCTGTTAAAGCCACATCTGTCCACTGCTCTTCCAAAACCAGGGCTGGATATGGACCTCTTTTTATGGCCTGCATATACAGCACTTCAATAGACAGTTCAAAATCTGAACTCAGTTCTCCCCTTACAGTGGATTCACACTCACCTCACAAAAGAAGTGTTAGGCAACAAATATCTCAAAGCACAGTGAACTCCAACTCTACCCTTCAAGTTTTGCCTTCAGGCAATGAAGAATGAAAGGCCTATGAGGATGGTGAAACAACCAGCAGTACACCTGCCTGGGCAGGGACACCATCTGGCAACACGAGGTCCTAAACTCCAGCCTCCTCCTAGGACAGTTCATGCATTTCAGCCCTAGTCACAGAATAACCTGACCAAGAGATGTGTCTGTGAACACATTTATGGTATTTTTACTACTAAAACTGACCTAGCTACTCTTAAGTGTGTTACCCCAAGGTCTTTTAAAAATGCAAACCTTTCTCAAACACCAACAGATCACTCCACTGAACAGTCAGTTTCAATTCTCTGACACAGAGACTAGGAAAAAGAGATGTGATCACTGCCAATACCTTTTAAAGTATTATTCAGTAGATTGACCCTTAAAAGAGGAAACAGTAAAGAATCATATTCGTAGGCATTTTTTGAGTCCTTTAAGTACAAGAAGCTGTTACATAAAAATATCTTCTCGGCTTAATTTTAAAATAGTATTTTGTCTAAATTTTGTCTAAAAATTGTTTTGAGTGCACCAGGCTCCCAGATTACTTACAGTTACATTAGATTAACCTAAGCAAAAACCTGAGCTTGCCAAAAAGCTCCTAGAGAAACTCAGTATCTGGCCTCTAGCCAAACGCACGATCTAAGACAGGCTTTTTATGTCAGCAGCCTGTTCTTGCAACTAGCAACTTTTTTTCTTTTTCCTTGGATAAAGATCAATAAATATGGTGACATTTCAGCAGTTTCAGGCTCACTAGAAAAAAAAGTTTCTCAGAGACTTTGCATTCTAAGTGACTTGGGTCAAACTTAAATCAATTCAAGGAAGCTTTTTTAAAATGCAAATTCAGAATCTTACCTAGAATTAGCTGTATTGTAAAACACAGTAGTTAAGTATAAAAAACACTTGCTTCACCATTATCTCTACTCATCCTCTCATGCTTTCCCAACTACTTATCCACATCCTGGACTCAGCTGGTTCACCTCTTAAGTTTCAGGTAACTCCCCACACCAGCAGCATGAAAACCAACACGCAGTTTTGCACATGCAGAGCTCCAAGTGGGAATGCAGACCCACATCTTCTGCTTTCAACCTAGCCATAAACAAATATTATTAACTGATAAAAACACAACTATTTTAACTCCACGCATTGTAAACACTCCCATTTATCAACTCTGTCATACATGTGGCAATAATTGTTCTCACTACCACACAACAAACAAGCTATACATAAGAATTAAAACTTGTATCGTGCTTGCAAAGTACTGACCAAATAAAAACTAAATCCATTATCCCAATCAAGTTTATTTCTGCATACAAACACCCTACCATTAACGGAAGTATTAGAAGATCTTTCCCACATTCAACACTGTAACAGAAAGTGCTGCAGAGCACAGTAAGGGAGATGCTGACTCTGCAAGACTGATTTAGGTCAAATTTGTTTGCACCTCAGCCAGATCTAATAATACTAGGAGGCCTTTTGTCATAATACAATAAGGATATCTTACAATAACATGCTTGCAAACAAGGCTATTCAAGCACTCCGTTTTTTAAGAAAGTGGCTTTTATTTCTCTCATTGCAGTAGCAGAGAGAGGTCAAGCCAGTAAAATTAAATAGGAGCCTGTAAAAATTATCTTGAAGTCCTAAACCATCTAGTAAAAAATCAAGGCAACAGTTTATGTATACAGGGCTTGGTTAGTGAAAAAGGTCTATGTTTTCCACATTTAAAAAAACCAAAACAACAAAGAAAAAACCCTATGAAACTAAAATACTATTTTAAGGTATGGGTTTTAATTGCCATTAATATAGAGATGCTAAAGCAAATTCTTCAAGGCTCAGGAGGTTTTTATTCCTTTTACAGAGGACCAAAGAAGATATTAGTTTAATTAAACCTAATATGAAAACCCTCAATTAACCCCCAAATAACTGTCAGACACTCAATTTAAATTAATATATCAAGACCCAAAACCCCAAACATGCACACATTTCAAACTTACACTAAGTAGAGAAAAATCAAGTTTGGAATGCAGAAGGGGGAAGGAACTCGGGGAAAGGCAGCACACAGTGTGCCCTGCTGCCATCTGAAATCTGCCTTAGGTCACCCCAGAGCCTCCTACAAGTCGCTTCCAGGTTTTGGTTTTCTGCTGTTGCATCTATATATTACACAAGAATATGCTGAATCAGAGTATGCGGCCTGGTAGACCTGGCAGAGATTGAATAGCTAAATCTTCATGTGCACTTTGTCAGAGAAAGGACTCTGCTCTGTAACGTGACGACTCAGTTTTGCTTAGCTGTTAAGAAAACAGAAACCCAATGCACAAAGTCAAACAGCATCACCTCAGCA